GGTCCTGGCCCCCGCAGCCGGGGCGTCCGTGCACGCGGGGCATGGTGGGGAGAGAGGCGGGTGTGATGGCAGGTGCCGGTGCGCCTGGAGCCACGAGTCTACGTGCGTGGGTCCGGGTGCAATGGGGGGGGACAGGTCCGTGGGCAGGCACGGTCTGCCTAGGCCATCCACACCTGCTGTGCCACTCACCTCGGAGGCCAAATGAGACACGGGAACCCACCTGGCCGTGTGAGAGGCTCTGCCCAGGAGCCTGCAGCCAGCCAGACAGGGTGGGGCTGGGGAGGAGAGAGAGAGGGAAGGGGCAGTGAGCATCCTTGTCCGTCGGGCCCACCTCCACACGAGGCACCACGTCCTGCTAACCTAACTGGCTGTGGCTCTGGGATCGGTGGGACACACCCCCGCTGCAGGGAGGACGTTTTCATCTCTAGGGAATTAATTTCCTCCTGGGCCTCTTTCCAGACCTCATGTCCTCCTGCCCCGGGACCCTCCTGGTCCTCCCACAGGACCTGCTTGGCTCTCCCTGCAGCTCTCCGGACTGACGTGGCCCCATGGCTGCAGCTAGCTGCCTGGCAGGCCGGGGAAGGCCGTCTTTACCCCGCGGGGCCTCACGCTTCTCCACCGATAAGGACGTGACACAGCAGGCAGGGAGAGCCAGCAGGCTCACAGGCCCGGCCGGGGTGCCCTCCTCCCAGTGACTGTCCCCTTTGGGGACTTGGCCTCCACCTTGCTAACCAAGATCTCTGTGTTCGCACGCGGCGGATGCAACTCGGCACTTCCCAAAGCCAGAGTCACGGTAAGCAACTGTCCTTCGCCAAAGACCCCGCCTTTGAGAAGAACTGTTTTCACACTGGTGGGATTTTGGCGTTTCAGGAAGCACAAGCACAAGGAAGCATTTGTGCTACAACTGAAGGCGTGAGGAACGACGTGTTCAAGCGCGAAAACCTTCTCCTAAGCCTCTGAATTGCAAAACTCGGGGAAGCGTCGGCGAAGGCCACGGACAGGCCGTTGCTCCGGGTCATGGCTCATACTGAGGACCGCGTCTTCCACGGCGAGGGAAGCGGAGCAGAAAACACAGCTACGGGAGGCGCCTGAGACCGGAGGCGCTGGCGGACGGGCTTTCCCACCTGCAGACCCTGAGATCGGACTCCCCGAGAGCTGAAATCTACACACGAGGTATGAAACGCCGTCCGGTATTTCGAGCCTTATCTGATGTCAAGCGTCTGCACACGGGAGGGAAGTGGTTTTACTGGAGCCTGGAGCAGCACAAACACGACCTCTCTGGGGAGGGCAGCCTGCAGAAATGGATGACCACGGGCAGCATCCATCCGGAAGTCTGGACCCGAGAGTAGAAGGAAAGAGCCCTGGCCATGAGGCCAAAGCCATCAGTGGCCCTGGTGGTGATCTGGGTGGGTTGGCTGGTTTCTTGTGCCTTAATTTCCCAATCTGTAAAATGGCCCCAATTCTCTCACAGAAGGTGTCTTGGAAACTGTTCTGTTCCAAACAAGTTAAACATCACGTCAAATGCACATGGAACGCACTGGCGCCCCGAGAGCCATACACACCCCGGGGAAGAGGGTAACAGGGCCCCCGGGTCTTACCAGCCTGAATTTTGGCTCATACGTAAAGACAGGAGGCAGGAATGCAAGTGTCCAGGCAGAAGGAACAGCAGGTGGTAGAGACCTGAGGCCCCCTGCCCACAGGGTTGGGATGCCACCTGGGAAGGGACAAGCTAGAGGGGTGAGAACGGCGGCCTCCAGCTTTCTCCCCAACGGGGAGGGTGCTGCCAGCAAGCCAGGAGTCTGCTTGCCTGTGGGAGGGTCGCTCTGGCGGCAGTGCTCTGAAGGTCTGCCCTAAGGAAGTCTTTTTATTCTGAGCTTGGACTCCTGGGACCTGCTGACCCTGGAGGCATGGCCATTCCCAGAGCTGGCTGACTCACCTTTCCCCCCGCACAAACCAGCCCAGCCAGAGACCACTCCCACCCCTCCCCTCCGTGGCCACCCCAGGGCAGGTGCCAGACAACTGGGTACAGCCCCACAGCCCATCAGCCACTAAAGTATCACACTAGCCATCTCTAAGCCTGGTTCCCCCGCTGCCTCTGCTCCCCCTGTGGAAACCACAGTGAAGGGTCTTGCCACATTTTCTACCCGCTCCTGTGACTTCCTGACAGACCTGGTGCTTCCCGACCCCCGTGGCACGCATGCTCCCTGGTCCCAGGAAACTGTGAGGAAAAGTTCATCCTTCGTGCCTTGTGCACATCTGTGCGTCACAGCACAGTGCGCGAAAACAAATCCCAGGTGCCCTTCCGACGCGTCCCGTGCAAGTGTACACTCCGCGTGCTCCAGAACCAACCCCCGGGGAAGTCCTCGCAACAGGACAAACTCGTGCTATACTACGGACGGACACATGAACTTCTATGACTCGCTAGGACAATTCTTGAAAAGAGGCAGCAAAGGAGTCCGCCCTACTGGTAACTAAGGCACGTGATCCCGGAGGTGCAGCAGTTAGGGCAGTGTGGGGCCGCGGGGACCAGCAGACCAGTGGAAGGAAACAGAGCATCCAGAAGAGCTTCATCAATCCCTGTGCTCGTGCCTGAGGGAGCCACTGTGGGGAGGCAGGCGGATGGGTGGCGTCGAGAACACAGGGTCCCACTGCAGAGGAGAAAACCGCATCAATGGATTAAAAACACCATGAAAGGCAGAATGAAAAGTATCAGAAGGAAACGGAGAACTCATCTTCCCAATCTGTACAAAACTCTAAAACTCAACAAACAGACCAAAACACACAGCCCCCCCCCCCCCAGCAAGCAGCGCCCCTCCTGTGTTGCCAGTCCCTCTGGAGAACGGGACACTCCATCTTCCTAAGACAGAGGCAAAGCAAGAAGAAGGAGCCACAGGGACAGGGCTAGGGCCTGAGCCTGGCCACCTGCTCCGTGCGCCAGGGTCTGTATTCCAGAAGATTCCTAAAGAACCGCCGGGGATTTGCCTTAGACATTCAAGGTACCCGCCAGTAGATTCTTCAAAACAAGAAAGACAATTTCTCACAACCCCTTGCCCAATACCAACTTCTCCTAGTCAAGTTTCCAGAACACCCTAGGACTTCTAGAAAATTCCATCACAGGATTGAAACTGAAGAAAAGAAAGTATAAAGCAGTGCAAGCCAGCCAACTTTCCTGGACTCACCCTTCCAGGCCCTGCACTCCTCACCCCGGCTCTCCTGGCTGCTTTCTGCCTTTGTCAACCTTTCGGGCTTCTCCAGGGCTCTGCTTGTTGAGAAGGATTTGAGAACCCCCTCCTTGCTGGCCATCCTTCTTGGCTCTCACTCTGAATAGCTCTTTATCCTGTCCCAGCAGCTCCCAGCTAGGTTCTTGTGTCTGTGATCAGAGCAATTGTCATCTGAATGCTCAGAGATGAGCCGTGTGTTGATGGCCACCAGGCGATGCAGACAGTCCCCGCCACAGTCCACCAGCAAGTAAGACCCAGTGCAGTCCCCAAGGGCCATCTTGTCATCACACACAGCAGAGAAGGTAGGTACTGTGCTAGCTGCCTTTTACGGATTTGACAACTGAGACTCGGAGGAGACGTCACCTGCCCCGGTCCGGCGTGAGGCTTAGAAAGGGCGCTGGGATGTAGCCTTGCTCTTTTCCTGTCTGTATGGACAAGGTTGTGTCAGAGGACCTGGACCACTGCTAACCCGCGGAACTCTCTTCTGGTTCCCCAGTTTTTCTCTGTCCATCAAAACGCAGCAGCGCCCTCAGCAAGGTGACACTTCACCATATCAGCGGGCAAGGGGATCAGCCAGGTTATCAGAGGCTCAGGCAGGGACACGGCTGGGGACCCTCACAAGGCACGGAGGTCCTAGGACCCCAGGACCAGGCAGTCCCGCAGCAGGGGCCCCAGAGCAATGCAAGAAGTCTTCCGACTACTTCCTCACGATTTCAGCTGCTGGGTTGTGTCCAAGTTGTCCTTCCTCACCCATGCCCCCCATGCCCGCTGCCTGTCTGGGGCTCCACCCCCTTCCCGGCAGGGGCACAGGGAGAGGCAGGCACAGAAATTTAGCTGCTCTCACTACACTGCAGTTTGTGGTAAATGTTTGAAATTGATAAATTTTGATGAACTATTTCACTTTTGCCCTAGTTAGCAATACTATGCCACAAATTAGAGACCCCCACATGTCTCCCTTCATGCAAGGGAGTGATCCCGTGAACTAGAGTAATGAGGCCACGAGAAAGAATCATTTGATTCACACCCACTGAAAACCCTGGGTCCCAGTCAGCAAACGCGTCTGTGCACCCCCCCCCCCCATTCCGGGTGGACCTGAGATGAGCGGTCGCTGCGTGGGGAAGAGGCTGCGCTCAGGGCCTCCTGGGACAGCCGGCAGCCAGCGCTGGCCCAGACTGGACCTGGGAGGCGCACCGGGAGAACCTGCTTCCCCTAAGGCGGCCTTCGAGGACAGGCAAGGAGGAAAGGCAGGCGGAGCCGGGACTGGGTCCATCCCTAGCGGAGCCTCGACAGAGTGCGCGCTGGCCTCGCGCAGGTGCAGCCTGGCTCGCCGCGGCCCCCGCGTTCGGGCAGGGGGGCGCCTGGTGCGGAGATGTCCTGCGCTGCTGGAGAGAGCGACTTGCCGGGCCTCTCCGCGCAGGGGACAGGCCCGGACTGAGGGTCCCCGCGGTCCGGCCACTATGGGAAGCGCCGCCACGGGCCCAGGCGCCGCTCGGGACGCGGGATCCCGGGACCCCGGCCTCCCCTGCGCGCCCCCGAGCAGCTGACGGCAGGCGCCGGGCAGGGCGGGGCGGCCTCGCGGGCCCGGGGGCGGGGCTCTCGGAACGCACCGCCCCCGCCCGCCCAGGCCTCGCCCCGCCGGCGCCCCCCGCCCCTCGCGTCACACCGCCCGCCCGCCTGCGCCTGCGCGCCCGCCCCGGCCGCCGCGCATCCTCGGCCCGCGCCCCGAGCCCGCTCCGCACCGGCTCCGCACCGGCTCCGCGCCCTGCGCCCGGCTCCCTGCGGCGGGCGGCGGCCATGAGGCTGCGGGCGCGCGGTCCCCGGGCCGCCCCCGGCTCCAGCGCCGCCTCCAGCGTGGGGGCCGGCGACGTGCGGCGGCTGGCGCCCCCGGGGCGGAACCCCTTCGTGCACGAGCTGCGCCTCAGCGCCCTGCGGAAGGCCCAGGTGGGTGCGCGCCCCGGGCCCTGCCCGGCCCCGCCGCCCCCGCGGCCTGCGACCCCCCCACAGCCCCGCGGCGGGCGGCCTCACCCCCATCCGGGGCCCGCGCCCCGGCGCCCGGCCCCACACCCCCTTTCCCGGATCCACGGGTCGCCGCACCCGCGGTCCCCGGGCCCCGCGTCCGCTCCGGCCGCGCGCAGGCCCCTGGAGGGAACCGCGCGGCTGTCCTGGATGTGACTTGGTCACTTGATGAGCTTCGTGTGGGGACCTCGTCGGTCCTTTGAGTGCGGGCCGGAGCCCGCGGTGCGAGCCGGCCGGCGGGAGCGGCAGGATTTCCGCCTCTGCGCCTGCAAGTTGTGCTGTGCGGCGAGTGCCGGGGGCGCTGCCCTGGGGGCTCGGCCGTGACGGTTTTGTGCGTCCGCGGTTCCCGCGAGCGAGCAGCGGGGTCCGCTTCCAGCGCGTGCGATGCGCAGAGCCGTCTGGTCCCGCTGAGAGATGGACGCCTGCTGGAAGCGGCGGGGCCCCACACGTCCCTGTCCTCGCCGGCTTCTAGGGGGGACCCGTTCCGCAAAGTGGTGGGGTCATACCCGGACCTGGTGGGAAGCATTCCCAGACCTGCTGGGGTCATTCCTGACCTGGTGGGGTAATTCCCTGACCCGGTGGGGTCATTCCTGACCTGGTGGGGTAATTCCCTGACCTGGTGGGGTAATTCCCCCGCAGGGCTGGGCCTCCCTGTGTACATTCCTGCTCTTGGGTTGTACATTTGATTTCTGTAAGATTGCTCATGACATCGCATTTCTTTTAACTCCAAAACCATAATGGAAGCAGGCACAAGTGTAGGATTTTAACAGTTGTGCAGTTGGTGGAGAGTGTATTTCCAGCTGTGACCGAACATTTTGGGGTGACATTGAGATTCTTCTTTAATGTATGAAGTTAGTCTTTGGAAATAATATTGAAGTGGAAAGTTCTTGAAGTTTGATATCGTTGTCCTGGGTTGCACGCTTTTCTTGAAGCCTCCTCTAGATGGGCTTGATTATCATCGTGGGAGAGGAAAGGGTAGGCATTAGACTGAGGACAGGGGAGAGAGGGGAGGGTGGCATCCCTTCTAGTGACATGAAGAAGCAAGGTTGTACCGGTCAGCTCCTGGGTCTTGTCCCCTGTGTCTGTGTGTGTCTGGAGACAGACACCATCATCTGCCCGCCCCTGGGGTCTGCCGGCAACCCCCCCTCCTCTGTGTTCTTTTGCTTGCAGACTTGAACTCATCACCTGCCAGCTACTGTACCCAGCTGTGAGGGGGTTAGGAGCACAGCCACTTCCTCGGGGCTCCTGAATGGTGCCCCCGACCAGACCCTACCCCATCACTCCTGTGGTCCACAGGCCTTCTTCCACCCACTGTTCTGAACCCTCGGAGGGTGACCGTGGGAATGAGCCCTGACTCCAGGTGGCTTCCAAGGTCCCGCTGCATCTGTGTCTTCCTGACTTTGCCTGCTGTCCTGGCCTCTCTGCTCGGGCAGGCCGTGGGTGACGGCACCTGCAGGAGGAAACCCCCTCCTCCCTGGAGGTCCCTGGAGGGCCGCCTCTGTGTCCCTGTCACACTTGCAGCCCCCTCCCTCAGTAGTGTGGAGGGACAGGGGCCGGGTCCGTCCTGCCACGACCTTTTTGTCCGAGTGGGGTGTGCTGTAGAGGCTCGCTAGTCGATGAGTAAACATGCAGAAAGGACGGACGGACGTCCCAGCAGAGCCTTAACTCCCCGGTACCTCTCGGGCAGGGCACACAGGGCTGTAAACTGGGGGTTTGGAGCAGCTCCTGACAGGGGGGATTGTGGTTTTAGATGTTGGCGGGCAGCTTCTGGAAGATATTCAGAAAAGGAACGGGTGGGTGGAACGCTCTAGCCCCCTAGGAAGGGGAGGATACTCTGTGCACACCTTGTTGCGATGTTGCAGAGGCGGGCGTCCTGGCTCTTCAGGATAACTGGTGTGTTTCCTGTGTGCGTCACGGAGCTGCGGTTACTGCTCGGGTCAGTGGCCCGTGGTCCGGGGCACAGAGTCTATGGTTCCTAAGCTCCAGGTTCCACCCTACAGAGACGTTTTGCTTTTTTGCAAGCAGTGCTCTGCGAGCTTTTTTCCTTTAAGTAATACAGTAGGCTGAGGTTTCCACGGGGGGGATCTGGCCTGTCCAAGCAAAGAAAGTCGGACTCCCTAAATCAGTCAGTGAACGAGCCCAGCCATGGCAGACACCCAAGGGCGCTCAGGAACCCACTGGCATTCTGAGTCAGGATAAGCCCGGGAGGACGCCTGCGTGCACCTGTTAGGCTTGCTGCTGGGGATGGGCCGCCACTGTCTGCGGATCAACGGCCAGTCCACCTGTCACTTAACCGCCGATTTAGTGAGGAGCTTAACCACCTCTTCAGACGGGAAATAACTTATCAAGATAGAAAAGCTAAGTCCGTGTCGTATGGGGTCACCTGGCGGTTTGCTGTGGAGAGTCATAGAGTGGTTTCTATCGCCAGGGTTAGGGGGGCGCCTCTGTTGGAACCCCCGGGCATGAGTGCATCCCGCCTCTAGCCCCGGTGCTTCCCCATCTCTGAACTCCCAGGGATGAGTGCCGAGGACGACTCACTTCCCGGAAGGCAGTCTGGCTTCCGGTTCACACTGGAAGTGAGTTGTCTGTGGGAGGGCGCTGCCACGTGCTCCCCTTTCCACGTTAAACCCACAGAGAGGATTACCGTGAAGGTCGGATGCAGGGACAGACTCAAGCCCAGCAGCCCTGTGGGGTGGCCTGTGTGCAGTGTAAGTACCCAGAAACGGATGATCGTTTTCTCTGAGTTCCTGTCCAGATGTTTGAGTTTTGGGTTAAAAGGAAGAAAGCAACAGCAGATGCCCTTGGTCTATCCCTAGAGCCTGAGTCAGGCGTGGCCCTTCTGGGGCAGGGAATCCCACGCCCCAGACTTCTGCAGGTGCTTTCCACCTGCTTCCGTGACCTGCCAGGCTCCCGGGCACCCACCCCAGCCCTCCTGCTGCCCCTTGTGTCCATGCGTGATGACGGCTCTTTATCCGCCCTGCCGGTCTGCCCAGGGGCGTGGAGGGAGGGGCGCGTGGGACGAGACATCACTTGGAGCTGGTGGCGGTAGAAACCGGGGGGGCGGGGCACGGGGACGGAGGGCTTCCAGGAGCACGTGTGTCCCAGTGGAAGACAGAGAGGGCTGGCTGCAGCAGGGCGGGTGCCAGGCCTCTGGCCCCGTCACCTCTGACAACCTAGGGGCCTGACAGTACCCCTATGTTGTGTGTCTGTAGCCCACTGGCATGTAGGGGCATTTCTCCCGTGTCCTTGCCTCTGGTCACTCAGTGCAGACCTGGAGACAGGCGGATGTGGGGTCGTGTCATGTCCCTGAGTCCCAGGTAAGGAGACTTAGACCCAGGGACTCTGTGGGCCTCGACCCCAGGCAGGTTCGGGACAGGTGAGCCCTTAGGGGACTGGCTTTTTCTCTTAACACACTGGGAGCCTCCTGTCATCCAGGTCTGCTGTTCTTGAAGGGTCACACATAAGCTTTAACCGTGGCCAAGTTGGTGGATGGGGTGGGGGTTGAGGAGACTTTTCATAATCCTGCTCTTTGGTCCTGGAATATGGGTACTTGACGTGTGTGCCTATAGGCAGGTCTTGTGTATGTGTACACGCACACAAGTGTAGACACAGACTTGTGTTTAACATTTTAAAAATTTATTAGTACTGAGTAAAGCACTGACAGTCTTATCTCTCATTTTAGAAAATCAGGATTTTGCCCCTGAAAGTGGCCACTGAGGCATCCTGGTGTGGGAGGAGGGCGCTTGCCCTGCTCCTGTCCCCACGGGCATCTGAGCACCAGAGGGCACGCCAGATGCTGGAGAAGGTCCAAGGAGGGGCTCTGGGCTCCTCTGCTCCTGGGAGTCTCAGCGAGGCTCCCACGAATCGTGTTTCACTAAGCCTCCCCCTCTCCCCGTGCCACCCGGCCAGAGACCATGCCTTGCCGACCACTTTGCCCCCGGGGCCTTCACCCAGCACAGCCAGGACACGATGCCACGGTCCCTGGAGCTGCAAGGCTGAGCTCGCCCCTCGCCCGGCCCTCCTGTGTTTGCTGTGATGTGTCCGGGTGACCTTAACCTCTCCTGAGCTTGCGCTTCTCCCATTTCTAGTGTCCGTAAACCCGGAGTGAGGTTGTGAGTTATTATGAAAATGCGCCCAGAGGAAAGCATGTGTCTAGATGGGGTCGCAGTGCTGACCTCAAGCCCGGCCGCCAAGCAGCCCTTCGAGCCACACTTTGCGGTATTATAAGTAATTGTCACGTTCCTGGTTTTGCCTACGTTCCAGCCTCACGAGCGGAGGTGTCTCCAAGCTTGTTAAACACTGTCCCTGAGCACACACATGCCTGCGGCTCCCAGCGTCTCAGGCACGGCGCCAACTCCGTTCTCATGCATTCGCAGGGGCCCAGAGGCTCTGCAGACTGCCCTGCCCGAGCCCTTGACACGCTCCCAGCCCATGGGCGGGACCTGCCACAGGAGCCCAGGACCGGGGCCTCTTTATTCCCAGAAGTCATTTGTCCATCTGAGAGCCAGAGGACTGACTTATTTTCTCTAAAAAGCTACTTGCTGGCTGAAATTTTTTTTTTAAAAAAACATCTTTCACAATTTTGATATTCCAAATCCCTAGGCTGGGGTGCAGAGCTGACTGTCACGGGGTCGCTGGGGCCTGGAGGGCGGGGACCGGTGTCGCCACCCAGTGGGGCCCTCTGCTTCATGCACGGCACCCCCAGCAGTGAGCCTGAGGCCCCAGACAACCAGGAATCCTAGGCCGGGGGGCTGGTTTGGACCAGGCCCAAAAGCGCAGCAGACCCCTCCCTGTAGCAGTAGGTCTCTTCACTGGTAGGAAAGAGTCCTCAGTCACTTCTACCCGGTGGGACTCGTTAGCTCCATATTCTCGTGGGGGCCCCCGGGCCGCTGGAGCTCAGCACGCCCCAAGCCGGAGCCCAGCTT